AAGTCCTTCTCCTCAGGGCTGCTCTCAATTGGTTCTCCACCCATGCTGTAGCTGTGCTTGAGATTGCCCCAACCCACGTGCAGGACCGTGCACTTGGCCTCGTTGAACTTTATGTGGTTTGCACAGGCCCACGCAGACAGTCTGCAGCTTCTCGCTGATGCCTCGTGTGCTGCACCGTGAGCCCTAGCACACGCAGCCCATCACCCCTGCACTCCCTAGCAGCACAGCCCCACCAGGCCATGACAGCCTGACCACCCGCCTGCCTCCCTGCAGGCAGGGCTGACCCTGGGGTGGCATGGAACAGCAGCCAAGGGGAGTGCATGGGGCAGGAGGAGGGTCCCATCAGCTCACCTGTGTGGGCAGGGATGGGAGAGGGAGATGTGGTGCCCAGGCCAGCGCCGGGCAGTCAGGACTCCCCTGGGACAAGAGGGGACTGCAGGTTGTGGTTCAACAATGAACCTCGCAGCAACCTCTGGCAAGGATGCCTGATGGTCCTCCAGGTAGGGTAGGCTCTAGCACAGGTACCGCTGCCATGCCAGCTAGAGACAGCACTGGGACACAGGGCTGATGCAGACCCTTGCCAGACATGCAGGCTTGTTCCTCCTCCTGGGGACACCATCACCTCCCTGCCCACACCAGGGCAGTGGAAGGCAGAGCATGTCTGGGGTCTGGTGGTGAGTGCTTCCATGCCCAGCAGGAGAGTCAGCGAGGGGGCTGTGCTGATCTTCCATGTTTGTGAGGTTTTGGCCAGGTGCCTGAGCTGTTCCCACTGCAAGGGCTGTGTGACTTCGAGGAGGATTTCTTGAGAGGCCCACAGAGCTGTAGAGATGCCACCACAGCCCAGGGCAGGGCACTCTCCAAGGACTTTTTGGGTTTGGACTTTTGGGATCTTTTGGTACACTCTGAGGCCTCTGTGCTGAGGCAGCCTTGGCATGCTTTCCAGAGCATCGCTTTTGGCCTTTCTGTGCCTTTCGTGGCATCCCAGACCCCTCCTTATGCCTTTTGGCCTTTGACCCTGGGGCCTCCACGTACCTCTTGTGGCTTCCCACTGGCCTCTGTGTGCCTTTCATAGCCAGTCTTAGACCTTTTCCAGCTCTTTTGGGGAAGGTGGTGCCCAGGACTGAGCCTACCCCAGGCTGAATGTCATGGTGAGCCTGGGAGAGACAGGGAAACAGCTCTGTGCTGTCCTTGGGGACAGGTAGGTCAGATCTGATGGTGACACACACTCAAGGGGTGCATCTCCCAGCAGCCCATAGCCCTAGTGCTGAGGCCCACTCGTGGGGTGTCAGCATCCAGTGTCATTGTCCTCCTTGAATCACTGATGGGGTCAAACTTGGTTACTCATGCGAAAGAAGAGCAGCTGAGGGCTCCTGTCCACTTTCTTCCTCATCCTCTGTTTGCCACTTCCCATCACGGTCTCTACCATGTCTTTAAAGAGGATGATGGAGACCACTTGCACCTGGTGGTGACAACCTCTCCCGGGCACTGGGTGCATCTCCCTCTGGAGGGGACGTGCTTTCCTTGGGGCTCCATCAAGGTTCTCCCTGGTGGTCGAGAGAAAGGTGTGGGGTTTTGATGGGCTCAGGCTGGGTCCTGGCTCTTTGCTTGTCTCTGGCTCAGTGGAGCAGCTGGGAGCATGTGAGGTAATGGTGGGGCAAAATGCATCCTGGCATTTCCCAGGGGTATGAGCTTGCTTGCTGGAAGTCACAGGGGAAAGAGACACATAGCTCCTGAAGTGATACAGGATGGCTGTAGACACACCACATCATCCAAGAGGGGCAAAACCATCTCTCAGCTGCCCCAGAGGTGATGCTGACATCCTATGCCCCCACCAGGGAACTAGGTATCTTGCCCTGCCGCCCAAGGGGACCCAGCTGTCCTCTTCCCCATGAGACACATGGCCCAGACCAGAATGCACGGCCCAAAGCAACATGGCCGGGGGCACCCAAAGGGACGTGCGCAACCACTCACATGTTCATTAATGACTACCTAATGACCTTGGGGGGGCCGCGAGGGGGAGTGGGGCCTCCTGGACGCCTGGCTCCCCCCCCATATCCGCTGGACCTTGCTCTTTGCCCTGCCCCTCCTCCTGGATCCTTGCCCATTGGGCCCAGCTGGGGCCAGTATAAAAGAGGCACAGAGGAGTGGGAGGGATTCCAGAGACCCCGAGGCCATAAGGGAGACTGAGGCACGCACACACAGGTGCGGGTGAGGGATGCGGAGGGTACCAAAGTGTCTGCGGGAGGGAACTGTGAGGAACCCAAGCATCCAGTGGGGGAGGGAGGATATGTAGGGGATCCAGCTGTCAGGGCGGGGGGGATTTATAGGGAACCAAGGGGCCCAGGGCGGGGGGGTTGTTCCATAGGGGACCCAGGCTTCTGGGGTGCAGAACTGTGGGGACCCAGGTGTCCATGGGGTGTTCTGTAGGGCACCCAGGCATCCAGGTGGGATCCACAGATAGCCCAGGTGTACAGGGGGAGTCCAAGGAGGGGGATCCCTGTGCATTTAGAGGGGGTTTGTAAGGTATCCAGGTGTCTGGGAGGGGGAATTTGTGGAATTGAGCATCCAGGGTGGGATTTCCAATAGGGTGCCCAGAAGTCCAGGTGGCCCTGACCCCACTTTCCACAGGTGCTCATGGCAAACTGGGCCTTATGCATGGCGGTGGTGCTGGCAGCACTGGCAGGGGCGTTGGGTGAGAGCCGCTATGAGAAGTTCCTGCGGCAGCACGTGGACCACCCCCGGACGTCTGCGCTTGCGGCGCACCGCTACTGCGAGACCATGCTGGCGCGCCGGCGAGTGACAGCCCCAGGGCGGCCCTGCAAGCCCTCCAACACCTTTGTGCACGCACCATCTGAGGAGCTGGTCGCCGCCTGCACCCAGATGCCAGACGCAGTGGGGTTCCACAGCACCCCAACC